GTAAAAAGGGCCTCAAGTATCTACCTGGGTGGTTATTTTTAGGATTAAATAGAAAACACTTAACATGCTACCTGGCAAGTGATCAACTATGTAATAGTTAACAAAAGTTAGCTATTTTTATGGTCAACTTGTCTGATGAAACTACATATTTTTGGAAATGATCACATTGAAAGGAAACTTTTCCAAGTAACCTACTTGTGGCTTTTTGCTCATTTTGTGAGCAAAACATTTGAGCTCATTTGCAAACAGCTCAGCATTAAGGTATCCTTCCTACAAAGTCAGAGGCCCTTCTTTCTTCAGCTCTCCTCCAGGAGTTTTTCCTTCATTCTGTTGCCAGTTGGGTTCAAGGTGCAAAGTTGTTTCTGGCTTGATCCATCAGAGGCAGGCCCAGAGATGGGCCCAGGTACAAAAAAACGTCTCCAAGCTGCTCGTTTGTCCTAAACAATGTGAAATCCAAAGCCCTTGTTATTCTCCCATAACGAGGACACGCCATTACTTTTAATAACAAACACTGAAAAATAAAAAGCAGATTAACAGAGGCTGTTTTCCATCTCAGTCTCTTGCACTTCTCAAATTAATGAGGCTTTGTAGGAATTTGGAGCCTGTGTTTCTTTGATAGACTTTGGAAAGAGGAGTATAAGCTTCAGTTCTCCTCTTGAATCTGGGTATGAGCTGTTTCTTTCCTGCGTCTGCTTCTTTTTATTTTTAATTTTCCTTATTTCTTTCATCTGAATCTTATTCTAATACTATTCCCTTAACTCCTTTTTTGAAGCAGTTTTTATCTGCAGGGTACCATTTGATTGGCTAATCAGCGGAGGAGCAGCAGCACAGAGAATTTGGAAGAGCTCATTACAAAATGTCAAAGCTGGAAGGCCTCATACCAAACGAAACCCATTGCTGTCAAGTTGATTCTGACTCAAAGCAACCCTATAGGACAGAGCACAACTGCCCCCATAGGGTTTCCAAGGAGCAGCTGGTGGATTTGAACTGCTGACCTTTTGGTTAGCAGCTGAGCTCTTAACCACTGTGCCACGAGGGTTATGGAAGGGCTCCAGTTTAGTGGTTCTCAAACTGTGTTCCTTAGAACCCTAAGGGTCCATGGTAGGTTCCAGGACTTCATGGGAGAAAAGAGGCTAAGCTGGCCTTCAAATTTTATTCAGTCACAGCATTTCTGCTTCATTTATTTTACATGAGTGTTCAGCATACAAATAATTTTTAAGAGGCCCATTTAAAAAATAAAACTTTGAAAACAGCAGCTCTAGCTCAGTCCTTTTATTCTCCAGATGAGAAAACTAAGGCCAGACAAGGAAGTGACTACTTCTACGTTATGAATAACTCTTTGGTGGATGAACTGGGACTAGCCACCTCAAAGGCTCTTCTTTATCTCAACTTTAGCATAATTCAGGTGTTATTGTTTTCCCTATTTCAAGAGGAAGAGACTGAGGCAGTATGTTTTGTGAACAGTCCCCAGCCAGCTACGTGTTTGGAATCAGCAGACTGCTTCCACTCGTCCTCTGGGTTTTCTCTGCTTGCAGGTTGTTAGGATGTGGAGAAGAGGCTGATGCTGGGAGATTATTAAATGAGAGGTTGGTTGGTTTGTTTAGTCATTATCAGTCTTGCTGCAAAGTCCCTTTTTTGGCATTACATTGGAGATGTCCATCACCCCAGATGCAAGATGAATATAGCCCAGACCAGTCTTTGTCTTCTTGTAAGTCATCCCAGGATCCCAGGGGACCACGGCCACTGGTCACAATGTGCCTGCCTGCGGGAACATGAGTACCAGCTTGTGCGGTGCTCAGCATTGTGCCTCAGGAGGGATATCCCCAGAGTTCTGTTCTCCACCATACCCTTGGGTTTCTCCACCCCCACATCATGCCTCAACTGCACTCTTGGCCAATGTTTCCTAGTCTATTTGGACAGCATGACTTCTTGAGAAAGTGTTTACGATGACTTTGGGGGCTGATGTGGAGTTGTCAACATTTTCCGATATCAATGAACATCTTCTTTTATAAAGTTACTCTCATGCCAAAAATGTAGGACAGATATAACTTGAGAAAGGAGAGCTCTTCCAGAAAAAAAGGGCACTTTGTCATCTTACTCTAATGACTCTGCCTGGTTCCATTTTTGTTCACTTGGTGGTGAATTAATGATCACCTCACTCTGGTCTGGCCCCAGTAATGTTCTAGGTTACAGAGTCCTTGGTTTCTGCAGCTCCTGCAGTCAGACTGAGGGTACATTGGCACCATCAGAAGTACCTACTAATTAACTGGCCACTTGACATAGGGCATTTCAATCTCAGTCTCAGGAGGCTAACCTAAGGCTGGAGACTCCTTGTTCGGGCTTCCTTCCCACCAACATACTACAATGCCCCAAACGAGACAGGGACAGGCCATGACAAAGACATCCATTTCCCACATTAAAAAGAAAGTGTATTTTTCTTTAACTTAAGAAAACCGAGCTCCATGATCTGGACACGTCCCAACCATATGGGACTAGGGCAAGAAAAATGACGAGAAGACATCGAGAATTGGTGGGAGCCAACAGAGTCCCTGATGGAGTGGGGCAAGGGTAAGGTGCAGAACTTTAATTCTAGTAAAAAGACCAGACTTAATGGTCTGAGACTGGAGGAACCCCAGAAAGCACGGCCCCTGGACTCTGTCAACCCAGAACTAAAACAAGTCCTGAGACCAACTCTTCAGACAAAGATTAGACTGGACTGTGGGACATAAAATGATACTCATGAAGAGTAAGGCTCAAGTAGATACATGAGACTAAATGGGCAGCTTCTGTCCAGAGGTGAAATAAGAAGGCAGAGAGTGTTAGGAGCTGGTTGAATGGACACGGGGAATCAGGGGTGGAAAGGAGGAGTGTGCTGTCACAGTATAGGG